GTTGAGATTATACGCTACATTGCCATAGTTCTAGTCCCGCTGGGGGCGCTTATGAGACCTATGTGAGGTTTAAGCTGCAGTCCAGTTCAGTCTGGATAAAAATAACTTTTGGCAAAACAAGGCTATGTGGAATTCAACGTAAACTTGAGGTCTACTCGTATTGTGGGAAAATTCAACTATCCGTACCCTTATCACCACCATTAACGAAATAAGATGAATACATCTTATATATATTTTTATTCATTTAGCTCTTTGGGATTTAGTTTTTCTAAATCGTACTAGCAAATGCTTTGTATAAAAATGTTTTACTATTGTTACAATTTGCAACTCTAGTGAACCATGCTAACTGCACTGATTGTGTGCTATTTTTAAGTTAAATATTGAAGGTATATCGGTATAAGGATCAATATAGTTTGGCCTTTAATTCAGCTCTTTTTTTATTGTATATTCTTGGTCTAATCTCGTTGTCACAACTTGTTTGTATCTTCAGGGGGGCTACAAATAGTTCACTTTTTACTGAGTCTTCTCTCATGTGTTTCTCTATCATCGCATCGCCGACGATAGATTCCCAGACTGAGCTGCAACTTGTCAAAGAGACGATATCGACCAAAATGCTTTGTGATGTATCAATTTTAACGGCCTGAAGACTCATGTCAGCTATGGATTAGGACGCAATATGGAGTATGTTCTTTGAGGCCTCCCTATAAGCAGGACTAAGTTGCGAAAACGAGTTCATGCCAATTACATACAACAAAAGAATGCTGCTGCAAAATCTAAGGCTATATTGGTCCTCATAAATACAAAAATATCCCTGCCTTCTTTTATTATCTGTTAGTTTAAGCCTTTTCCTCCGGTTAGCGGCAGATCCTTGGTCCAAGCGTCTCCATTTTGCTGGTCTTGCTCTATTGTTTTCCCCGATTTTGATTAGACAGTAAGCAAAGTTATCGCTAACTCTACCTTCCTCCAATCTCCTGTTCATTAGATTTGTCTCCCCAAGTATGTCAATGGCCTCCCTAATCTTCCGCTTCCTTGTGTTGTCACCATATATGGCCATTCTTTCTGTTGCCTTCCAATTGATCTCGTGTCCAATCTGCGCGATGTGTTCCGCTAGTTCTGATCTTTCAGTATCCATTTTCCTGCAGAGCCTCTGATGTTCCTTGATTCGTGTGCTATTTTTTCTTTCTGTTTCGCCAATATATTTCTATCCATAGCCGCCGCATGATATACAGTAAACTCCTGAACAGTCCAATTTTCTACCCTTTCATGTTGCGTTAGTAGACTTGGGAAAAGTGTTGATTTTTCTTTTAATGGCCACTTGAATATTCCATTTACTCAATATTGGCCGTAGTTTTTGAGTTAATTTGCAGGAAGGCAAGCATATCCACTTTTGTGAATCCTTCATCGTCAATACTGTTCTTTCATAGTCCCCGTTCTGCCATCGGATTTTCACTGCCCGTATGTTTCATTGTATCACTTCGTTTGGGTAACCATTGTCGAGAAAGATCATAGTCATTTTGTCCAGCTCCTTGTCCCAGAAATCTGTATCCGTTAGGCGTAGGCTTCGGATGCTCATCATTATTCTAATCTATAGCCTGTTATTGTGACGGGACCGGAAATTGAGTAATATCCCAGCATAGGACTTCTTTTTGAACAATTTTTTAAGCGTTCCATTAGAACGAATAACTACAATGTCCAGGAACGGTAACCGCTCACCTTCCTCTACTTCCATTGTGAATTAAATTTTCCCATCAATCTGGTTTACACACTTCAGAATCTCTTCCAGTTTTTCTCTTCCATGTGGCCAAAGTGCGAAGAAATCATCACGGTACCGCATGAGCACTGTCGTTTGTAGCGGTGAAATCTAAGTTGCGAAAACGAGTTCATTCTAATTACATACAATAAAAGAATGCTGCTGCAAAATCTAAGGCTATATTGGTCCTCACAAATACAAAAATATTCCTGCCTCATTTTATTATCTGTTTAAGCCTAATATGAGATGCATTTACCAAATTTTGTTTATGGTGATGTAGGACTGGTAGAAGAATTTTCCCACAATGCTATGAGTTAAGCTGATGCTTCCATTGAATTTCACATAGCCTTGCTTTCCCAAAAGTTCTTATCATCCAGGGTGGATTCAGTTTCGACCTCTCATCGGTCTTATCAACACCTTCAGCGGGAATCGAACCGCGACAGTGCAGGATGGGAGCTTGACACGGTACACTGCCACTGCGAGGTTGAAACTGCAGTTCATGCT